AAGCCACCTCTCTGAAAAGTTTCAGCCAATTTAACCGAAACCACTTTTACATAAGAAAAGTGCCGGAATCCTTTGATTAATTTTTTTTCTGTTAAATTGGGGTAAAGACCGACTACAGTAAATTCAACTTCAAGCTACGGACGATGTAAACAAATGCACGCTGGAAATACGCGTTTGTTTAGGTTTACTAGTCAAATTTTGACTAGTAAATTAAAGATACAATATAAAACAGACAAACTTTGACAGATACAGATTATAGTAGACCAATTTTTTAAATATAAAAATGATTTTTTAAGATCTAGAGCTATTAACCACAAAATAAAGTATGTATGCAGAAAAAAGAAAGTTTATAAAATTACCGTATTTGCTTTATTAACTTAATCTGATGTACTGCTGTCATCATTAATGTTAATAAACAGGGGCTCAATTTGGGCTTCAATTAAATTGTCCAACTCCCACATTTTTGGCTGTACTTCTTCTTTTACATCTCAAACGCAGTTTTTCCATGGTTCCAGCAGATATATCTTCATGGAATAAATTTTTAATGTCAGCAAATTTAAATGTGGTGTTATTGGCAGCAACATAATTCTTGACTTGCGCCCATACAAGCTCTATTGGGAATAATGAGAATTTTTTATGTTTACCAGTGTTGGTAAAATCTTTTGGAGCCATCTTTCAAATGGCTTACCATACATTTCCTCATGGTAGTCTCCAGTGAAAAGAATTCTCACTTCCGATATAGCAGATTATCAATATTTTACCTTTTCCTAAAAATTATATTAAAGATAATAATAAAAAAATTCGAAGTTTATTTTAATGTGAATTACCGGAGGGATTTTTTAAGCCTGTCGACAGCCCATCCAAAAATGCATGTCTTGCAGAAGTCACAAGCATCCACCCAAAATTTACTTTTCGTAAGAGTTTGTAAAACGTGGTTCTCTTAAAATTTGGTAAGTCATTATCTTTATTTACATCTCTTTCTTAGGACTTTGTCAATTGTAGGAACTTGATGAAAGAAATATTGATGAACTTTTCTTCTTGTAGCTGACTTATCAAATTCGTTTACAGCATCTATTGTTTTGAACGATTTTGATTTGTTTTAGGTGCAGATAATGTGTCGGTACTTTTATACTCTTTAATTACATTAAAGACACTTTTCGAACAAACTCCAACTTTATCTGCAACCTTTTGTTGAATGCCCATTAACGCTAAAGTAGGATTATCTTGTAATTCCCATTTGTATGTATTAACCATTATTTCTTTGGTTCGACCTGCATCAATCTGTTTAATAAATAAAAATTATTTGATGTGTAATTTAGTATGTTAAAATTTATAAAAAAGAAGGGGTGTCCGATATAATTTTGTCCTACTATAATTAACTAATAATTAAAAAGGGACTTTGTTTTATCAAACTTTGTAAAAAAAAAAATTTCGACCCGTGCAGAAATTAGTTTAGATTTTTTGGATCATTCGAAACATAAAAGGCCTTTTGTAATTACGTTGATTGTTTTCGAGTTATAAACAATTTAATGCTAAAAGATGGAAAACTGACAATTTTTAAGGCTCAAAAAGACAAGTAAAAAATATTATTTTTGTAATCGTCAAGTACATAAATTCAAGTTTAAATCTTCTAAAAGGTTCGGATAAACATTTTTCTCATGTTTTGTTCTAAAATATAATTTTTTATTTGTTAATGAGGAAGATTCCTTATCGGGAAGGGCGATCGGGCTGCATTAACAACTAAAAAACAAGGTTTTTTTCTTGAATTTAAGTACTTCTTAATTTCAAAAATGATATTTTTTAAATATGTTTTTAAGCCTTGAAAATCGTCATCTTTCGTTCTTTTTTCAGTTTTAAATTGTTTATAACTCAAAAACGATACAACTATTACCATCTTTGGCATCATAGACAAGCTTACAATTAAAATCCTCACCATCATGATCTGTTGCTTGAGAACTACTATTCTCTGTTCAGAAATTGTTGATAGCACGAAATATGCCTCAAAATCATCAAACGGTCGTAAAATTTGTATCATCATAGGCGTTCCAGAGGTGTTTATTCATTAAAATTAATATTAATATTAATAATGTTTTAATACTGATATATTTAGTAAAAAACAATTAAAACTTTCACGGCTAATGTTGGTTATTATATTATATTAATAAAAATAATAATTTAACCATTAAAAATGTTGTAAATAAGAATACCTTATCTCTTTGGATATTTCAATACTAATCTTCGCGTTTAATCACTTTACTAGAAAACCTGGTATTTATATCCGAAGGTACTATCGGTTGCAAGATAATTAGGATGGAATTCCCCAGATTTTTAATAATATAATGGGTATAGATGCCGGATTTGGCCACGTACCTCGTCTGTTTAGTTTATATTCGAAACTTAACTTAAAAGGGTGAAGTTATTACGAACGAAAACAATTTGTTTGTTTAGTACGTTTTTGATCGCATGTAATTTACGGCTCGTCGGTGTTTCCGCTTCTACGGCAGTAATTAGCGTCTCGAATATTTCTTTTGCGAATTATATGCAGTGCGTGAGTGATTTTTTATTCCATATACCTACGAACATATACGTACCTTTCGCTCGTGCTCGTCTTGTTGAATTGTTTGTGATGGCTTCATCATCAACATCATCAAGTTTTACACCGGTACTGTTGCGTAAAGTCAGTAAGTCTGTCTATTCACCAAGAGAGAAGACTATTGTCCTGAATGTTCACGATGCTCTGGTTTCTCAGAATCCCACAAACACTGTTCGCAACATAGTCGAAAGTTGTGTCAACATGACTGGCGTAGGGGAGTCAACTATATCCTATCAGAAAGAAAAAAACACGGTATAGCTAACCCAAACACACACGAACACTTAAAGAGAGGGAAAAAGCCTATTGAACTTGATGAATTTGCCAAAAATGGTATTCGAAGGAAAATTCATGGATTTTTTTTCAAAAAAGAAATACCAAACCTAAATAAAATTTTACAAGAAGTTAGAGATGATCCGGATTTGCCTCATATCGGACGAACTAAATTGTGGCAAGTTTTAAAAGAATTAAATTTCCGGTGGGAGAAATCAGACCGAAAATCACTTTTGATTGACCGGGAGGAGATAATATGTTGGAGAAGAAATTATCTAAGATCTATACGAAAATTCCGGGCTGAAGGAAGGCCAATCTTCTACCAGCATGAATCGTGGGTAAACTCAGGTCATACTCTAAAAAAAGTTTGGTCAGATAAAAATATATTAAGCTCCAGGCAAGCCTTTATGGAAGGTTGGTCTACTGGTATCTCCCCACCTTCTGGTAAAGGCAGTAGATTAATAATTTCTCACATTGGCAGTGAAAAAGGATTTGTTAAGCATGGTTTGTTGGAATTTCAGTCCAAAAGCACAAAAGACTATCACGAGGAGATGACAGCTGATGTTTTCGAAGAGTATTTTGTGCAGATGATTGAACACATACCACCAAATTCAATTATAGTATTAGATAATGCACCTTATCATTCACGACTAGTAGAAAGACTTCCAACGACTGCGTGGAAAAAACAGGATATTCTTGAATGGCTGCGGAATAAGTACCTGCCTTACGAAGATGGAATGGTAAAAGCAGAACTTTTAAAAATTGCCCAGCAACACAAATCTAAGTTCAAGAAATACGTAGTTGACAAAATGGCGGAAAGGAGAAACATCACAGTCCTTAGACTTCCACCCTACCACTGCGAAATAAATACAATTGAACTCATTTGGGCACAAATGAAAAGTTATGTGGCTAGAAAAAATACGTCATATAAAATACAAGCTGTACGTGAACATTTACAGAACAAAACTGGAAAGATGCAGTAAGACATGTAATAGAAGAAGAACAAAAAATGTGGGATCTTGATAACATAATTGATGTGACCGTAGAGACACAACCGCTAATTATTAACCCTCAAGACGACTCGGATTCCGAAGTTGATCGTATTTATTTTGAATTTGAATAGTTTTCTAATCGTAAGTGATAGTAGTTGTAATCGTAAGGTATTAAAAGGAAAAGGCGCAAAACGTCGCCTGTCAAAATGTTCAATGTGTTTTAAATGTATCGATTTTTTTTCAAATCCTGAGAAAACTAAAAAGCCTTTTTGGGAAAATTTAAAGGCAGAATAAAATATTTATTAGAATAAATAAAAAGTTTCTTTTGCATTCAATATTTTCAATTAAAAATTATACTATATTCTCTCTATTATTTTCACCCCTGTTGCATAACATAATAAAATAAACATTGTAGAAGTTTTCAGGGACTTTCTGTTATGTAATATACATCAGTATACACATATAATACCCTCAGTAATAATGTAATCTTTCATTCTGCTTTTAAATTTTTCAAAAATATTTATTAGTTTTTTCCGAATTCGAAAATAATGGATACATTTAAAACACATTTGGTGCCTTTCCCCTTAATTAAATAAATGTATCTTTTACAAATGGCAAAAAACTTTATTTTTGAATAAAATTTTTTATTTTATTATAAGTTTTATTAAAACAAAAATACAATTTAAAAAATATATTTATTTAGTTCAAATAAATGTTTCAATCATATACTCTACGACACTGGTCGGCCAAAATACGTTCCTAATCGGATTATAAGCTTGACCGCTGCATTGTATTCCGGCAGATACAAGGTGAGTTGGTCGAAAACATCTTAAATCGTCAGTTTCAGGTTGGTTTTTACTATTATATCGTATTACCTATCCTCTCTGTATTTCAGTTCTCTAATTAGGATTAAACTTGTAGTGAGCTATCAACAAATTGTGAACCGAGTTATAGACGGAAATGTCTTGAGTGTTTAATAGGGGATAGGAGGTATTTTTTGTCGTTCTATTGGAATGTTCTATTTTGTTGCAAATTAGAACATATAAAAAAAATCTCATTACAAATAAGTCTCCTTTATTCGATTAGTTAATCATGTTTAACTGACTTTAATAATTTATTTACTACGTAAATATTTTTTTTTTCAGGTTTGGGGGTACTGAAGCTGCAACTTTCTGTGCATTGACAACATTGAAAAAACATCTTATTTACGACAATAAGATTGATGTTTACATGTATGCCAAACTATATCACAACAAGAGGCCTGGCATTTGGATATCGAGTGATGATTACATGAGACTCCACATGTGTGTACAAGCATTGTGCAATCCACCAGAACCCGGCATAGTTGAAGCTGCTCCTGACTTGTATTCATTGGCCAATGGTAACATCAATGCTCCGTCAACATCTCGAGATTGTATTCGAATACCTCCAGAAGGTATGGAAGCTGATTCTGCTGTCCTTTAAAATGCTTTTGACATCCATCTTTCTTGTATATCAATGTGTAGTTTGTAATGTTCCAGTGTATGTTAAGTGTATAAGTTTCTGTGTCTGCAACAGGACGTTATTATTTTCACCGGTAGCCAAAGTAGATACAATGCTACAATTTACTAGAAAGTGATGTTTTTATTACATATTTACAGTAACAAATTTTGATATACAAAATGTTTATGTTTATTCTTCAATTCTATTGGGAATTCATTTAGGATACAAGGTATAAAAACGAGTGATATCTGATTTTATCTGCTGTATACATAGACTAAAACTAAACTAGACTCAACTAAAAAAATAAGGTGCATTATCTTTACACTACTCTTTTACTACCGGAGTTAACCAATAAATCATTTAATTTCTAATGTACTAATTTGAAATAACTAGTAGAAAAAATTGGATCCGTTAAGATCTATCTGTATGGGATGTTTGAATCTAATCTAAGTGTTCTTGTCCTCGTATAGTCATCTCTAAGACCGTTATGGTCAACTTTTAAACGGATAAATATAACCGTGGCATACGATCTCCCATATTAAACGATTATAACTAGAAAATAATGCTTTCACGCCTTTTTAACAATCTATATAGATATGATTTCATCATCATCCAGCCTCAAAAGTCCACTGCTGAACATAGGCATCTTCCTCGTGCTTCCAACTCTCATCCAGTTTTTATTTTGTGTTCTTAAATCGTCAGCTTGCTCATCGTGTAGGTGATTGACGCTTCTGTTGTCCTGTACGAGAAAGGAAGACAAGACAATACACTAATATTGAAACCATAATTTTCGAAAAATGACAAGTCATTTGGCGTGTTAGTGGCGATTTAGTGTTTTCTTTATTGGCGCTACTCCCCACATTCTCCGCTTTTCCAAGAATCATCACATGCCCCTCGCACCTTTATTAGGTGCCAAAAACATTAACAGAACACTCGAACGTTATTTTTCAAATAAGTTATAGTTCATTTGATATTTCAATAAATCGTTTTCTCAGTTTCTCAGCTATGCTTAACTCGAATAAAATTTCAGTTAGAAAGCAAGGTGAATTCCAGTGACAATAACTTATCAATGGATATTTATGCACATTAAATCAAATACTCAAAATAAACTATCACTGTGTAAAGAGTTAACTGACTAATAGCTAAAAGTTAATTTCTTGTGAGAATGGCTTCTGTGGATTCATGTTTCTGTGTATATGGAATACTTGAGTTACTGTGCAAGAATTTACCTAATTTTTGCTTTTTGCTTGTAGGTAGATTAATTATTTTTTGTGTATTTTATTTACAAAAACAGCTACATGTAATTTTAGCCAAAGAGTCACTTAAAAGACACTGTCAAACTAGGAAAACTTTTTATTAAATTTAGCTCTGGAGGTGAAAGTTTACTATTTATGTTCAATATTTAGTCTAAAAGTCTATAAGTATTCTTTATGTAACATATTCTTATTCATGTTAGCAATAAAATCTACTTTGGGTACATGTGACAATGTTTAATACAGTGTCTCGATAGTGACATTTTTAATGCTCAGAGGATTTACTTTTTGGGTTGATTGTTGCGCTTTTTGTTAAGGTTTATATTGTCGAATACAGCATTATACATGTTACTTTTATTCAAAGCGTACAAGAAGATCAAAATGAATCTGCTATTATTCATATCATGTTCTCACTGACTGCTATTATTAAATTTTCATATGTTTTTAAGACATCCCTTTATTAAGTTAGTACATGTTTCAAACAGCTTTTGGCCATTTATTTTTAATTATATTAAAAATAATTTCAATTCCATACATACTGGATACAAAATCTAAAAAGTTAATAGGAAAATCACAGTATATAGTGATTCTTTGGTAATTAGAGGTTTTATAGAAACTTGACGTAATAAATCTCTGAAAATTTAGAAGATAGGGTTTTTGGATATGCCCAATTATTCTAAACTATTTTTTAGAGTTTACTACCACTTCCGGTTATACCGGAAGTTGACTAAATTTTCCTTATCTTTAATATAACGCCCTGTATATTAATTACGGATTTCGATATAACAGCTCTTGAGAATTCGATCAATATAACATTAAGATACCTTATACTGATTGTTTTAGCTCTTAACTTATAACGTTCTATTAATAGAATAATATTTAATATACAAAGTGATTTAAAACATAAAATTAAAAATGTCTCAACTTACTTAAATCACCTTATATATTGAGATGTTTAATATTACTATTGCCTAGACTGCCATGGAAACTCTAGTTGGCAGTTTTTAATTCGCGTAAATTACACACAGATAAGCAGACTTTTTTGAGAATAGTCAAATAAAATTTCCATGGCACGCAATACAATGGTACTTAAAATTATAAATAATTCAAAAGCTAAATAGCTCAATAAATGTTTAAAGTATTGGAACTAGTTAACAAAACTAATTAATAATTTAAAAAATAATTTAAGTGCTTTCTAATAACGTGATAATCTATAGCTGGGGAGGCCAACTCGTCGATCGCGATCGACCAGTCGATTGCGGCCCCTAGGTCAGTCGATCGCGGAAAAGGAAAAAATTATCAGTATAATATAGCTACCTGTTCCCGTCCTAAATATTACAAAAATTATTGGAGTGCTAGCAATCTTGCATCGATCATTACGAGCGACACTCATTAATTTTTTTTCCAATCTAATATAGTTGGAAAAATAAATAAGAATTAATACTTTTGTTTTATTTAGGTATTGTTAATATAAACACAGCGTGCAATAAAGCTAATTAATCCAGAATGTTAGTGCTCAGAGCCGAATCGGTTTTAGATTAAAAATTCTTCCAGATCTCGAAAACTGATTAAGTAGTCTTTCAGAATGAGATAGAATAGAATAAACAACACATTTTGTGACCACATAGACCAACATAAATATACATTTAATAACACCCGTGGACAAGGATCTATGATAGATTATGTTATAACCAACAAAGATATACATTCATCGAATATAATCGACGTAAGATGCCTCAACTCAGCAGATGTAGGTAGCGACCATAGTCTAGTATTATGTAAAATAAGAATCATCCTGAAATACTTTACACCCAAGAGAGCGGCGGCAATACAAACAAAAATCAAAGTCGAAGGACTAAATACGGAATCCACGAAATATTTATACAGAAAAAGAATATTAGAGAAGATCGCTGGGAATGAAATATTAGAAAACGATAACATCGAGAAAAGCTGGGAAAAACTCAAAAATAACATAATTAACTCAACAAGAGAATAACTTGAGACGAAAGTAACTAACGATAACATATCAAAAAAGAAAACACCATGGGTTAGAGAGGAAGTAAAGACAAAATGTGAAGAAAAGAAGAAAGCCTTTTTACAACACAGAACACAACAAACACAACAGGCATATAACTACTATAATCAAATCAGAAATTAAATGAATACTTTAGTTAGACAAATAAAAAGGGAACACTGGCAGAGCTTCTTAAAACAGATGGAACACGACTTCTACGGAACACAAAAAGGAATATGGAGAATGATCAGAGGACAAAGAAAAGAGATGAACGAACTAATAAAAACGAAGCACATTCTGAAGAAAACATGGGTAGACTACTTTCGATCCTTATTTGCTAAAGGTAACGATAATTAATCACCAACACGAGAGGTGACGACAAGTGAACAAATAAGTATTGAGGAGAAAGATGTAAAGGAAGCATTTAGGAAATTAACAAATAGAAAATCACCAGGAGAGGACAGAATACCGAAAGAGCTCCTAAAGTACGGAGGACGAGATCTAAATAAACAACTATTAAAACTAATTTAAAAAAAAATAGAACAAAACAGAATTCCTCAAGAATGGAGAATGGAGATCAAGCATCCTAATACCCCTCTTCAAAAAGCGAGACAAATCGGACCCTGAAAATTACAGAGGAATTAGTTTATTAAACACAACACTAAAATTAACAACCAAAGTGATAACAAATAAACTAAATGAAATTATAACACTAGCAGAAGAACAAGGTTTTATGTCCGGAAGATCATGCACCGATGCAATACATATTTATAATGAGGCAAGTGCAAGAGAAATCAATAGAATACAATAAACCGGCTTGTCTATATTTCGTGGACCTTAAGAAGGCATTTGACGGGGTCAAATTAAAGGACGTTATCTACTTATTGTACGCAAGAGAGATACGTCTAGGAATAATCAAAACGATCGAAGATATCTATCAAAACAACACAAAAGTGAAAGAAGAAGATTTACAACGTATGCTGCACCCATTTAATATAACCGCCAGAAAATGTAACATGTTAATTCCCCAAAAAAGACAAAATGCATGGTTACAACAGCAAATTTACTAAGATGTAAATTGAAGTTGGAAGGTCAGATAATAGGACAAGTGATGGAGTTTAAATATTTAGGCATCACATTATCTAGCTACGGAAAGCTCAAAACTGAAGTAAAAGATCAAGTGAATAGAGCAAACAGAGCCGCAGGATGCCTGAATGAAACAATATGGAGAAATAAAAATAGCTGGAAAGTAAAGAAAGGCAGAATTTATAAAACAGTCATCAGACCAATAATGACAGACGCGCAGAAACAAGCCCTAACACACAAGACAAAAAGGATGTTAGAAACAGCAGAGATGAAAAATACTTTGATGACAACTTACTATGGGACAGAGCTAGAAGTACAGATATACGACGTAGATGCAAGGTGGAGAACATCAAGAACTGGGTAAAAAATAGAAGAGTAGAATGAACGACAAATTACTGGAGGAACATTGAAAAACAGACACAGTCATGTCTACATAAAAAGAAGAAGAGGAGAATCACTGATTGATTTTCTGAGATATAGTGAGCAACTCTGAGATATTCAGCTCACTTTTAACGTTAAAATTCTGGTTAAGTTTTATTGCTCGCCAGTATCACTAAAAAATTCCTAGTCGGTAGATCGCAAAGAATTAGAAAGGCAGAC